CCAGCGGAGGGCAAGAAGGAAGAAGAGAAGAAGAAGCCCAAAAAGCCAAAGTCACCGCAGCCCAAGAATGAAGTGGGCACTAGGAAGAAGTGTCGCCGGTACCGGTGGGAGCTCAAGAGCAGCAACAAAGAGTTCTGGGTCATGGGGCACGCCGAGGTCAAGTACCTAACTGTGGTGAGCAGGGCTGGTGTCTGGGGCGCAGGTCCGAGGACTGGCGAGCGGGCTCCAGGGATTTCCGGAGGGGCTCCGAGGTGGGTTAGAACCCTTGGCCGCTGGCTCAGGCGCGTGTCTCCCGGCAGGGCTGCCTGGTAACGGCGTTGATCCTTTTCTCGGGGTTGTCCGCGCATCCCGTCTTGACGCTCATCATCACCATGGAGCTGTCCATCCTTATATTCCTCATCATCATCTACACCTTCGCCATCAACAGATACATGCCCTTCATCCTGTGGCCCATTTCAGTAAGTGGGGGGCGGGCGGGGATGGGGGAAGTTCCCGTTACTGTGTGCTTCTCGCGTGGGTCTTGGCACCTGGCAAGTGACTGAACAGAGAAACACTCCTTCCCTCCCATTTCTGTGGCCTGGGCAGCCACAGCTGAGGATGGGGGAAAATTAGGCAGGAAAGGCTCTGAGCAAGCCAAGCTGCGGGAGAAGAGGAGGGGAGGGGAGGGGAGTTTAGAGGAGATGGGGGGAGGGGAGGTGGGCGCTGTTACCAACTTGGTGGGCAAGCTCAGAGGGCCTGAGACTTTGCTTTCATGGGGGGTGGGGGGAGCTGCTCACAGCTGATTAGGGAGACCACCGGGGAAGACGTCTACCCCCAGAATTCAAAGAAGAAAATCCGCCTCCCCATAAATCAGTAAGATAAAATGAGAGTTTTTAAACATCACTTCTAAAGCAGGCTTAGGTCGCCAGTGACTATCCCTACAAATTATGTTCAGGCCAAGGCAGTGGTCCAGTGGAATGGGACAGCAATGGGCAAGTTAATGTAACAGGAGACAGGAGTCATCTCCCTTGGGATTGTTCCTGCAGATTGAATGTAAAGTGCTAGATGCAATGCCCAAGGATGCATAAACTTAAATCCCTGCCTGTGAACTCACAGAGGACACCAACCTAACTCCTGGCCAGTGGATGAAGCCCCAAGGCTCCATGCTCACTGCACATCCATAGCATACCTCGAGAGCTCTATGCTCACCATTTCACTCATCCCACACAGGATGAAACTGGGACTCAGACTGGTGAAGTCATTTGCCCCAGGTCACTCAGGTAGTAAGTGGCAGAAGAATGATTCAAACCCAGCTTTGTCAGCAGAGTCTGAGCTCCTAACTACACTCTGTCCTGCCTCCCTATTAAAAGGTCCCAGGGATCTGTAGGTCTCAGTGGGGTTGGTGAGGACACCTAGTACCGAGAGAAAGGACAAGAGGGCTGATCAGGATTCATGGGACAGGTACGTGCAGAGGACAAGGTAACATTACAGAGGACAAGTTGCCCAACCAAGGAGTCTGGGAAGGTACTTATATAGTTTTAGCAAGATGAAAAACCAATGAAACCTGAAAATTCTCCTGCTACACTTATCAAAAATACTAGGGGAAATGTGACCAATAGTATTTTAACTGAATGGCTGAGCAGGCAGAAAAAAAAGGGAAATGCAGAGGTGCCAGAAATGAGGCGGGTGGAGTGGGGAAGAAAACAGGAGCAGTGATCACATAAGCTGCTGAAGTAGGGGTGGGAATGGCCCGTGTGATAATGTCCCAGGGTTTCATACACTCTTAAGATCATAGATGAGGTTTTGGTCCCAAGCAAAGTGGGAATTTAGACTGAGAACCCTGCATAAAGCAGCACCCTGAAAAGACTGCACCATCAGGAATAAATAGAGACGACACACACCATTCCCTCATGCATCGGAATAAGAAAGAGTTTTCATCTCTTCCTGATCTTTGAGTGGAAAAAAAAAAAAAAAAAAAATTCCCTAAAAAATTGAAACTTTGGGCCTGCTCTTTTTACAGATTTGTAGTTTTAATTTTTACTGCCTGCAGTTTAGAAACCTTCATGCCTTGGAATTAGGGAAGGAAAAAAAGGTCCCAGTGTGATGATATTCTGATGATACCCTTGGAGCTCCTGCCAGAAACAAATGCAAGATCACAACCAAGTGCCCAAGAAATTCTCACAAGAAGAAAAAATATGTTACTAAATATGAACTCACAATTAAAAACAAAACAAAAAAAAACCCTGATTTTTAAAAAATTTCCCCTGAGTAAGAGTAAGCAAACATAACAAACGGGAGGACTAGAACCGCAAGAATATGAGATAATAAAACAGCTGTCTGATAATAAGGAATATCCTTAAAATAATTAAAGACATAAATAAGAGCCCTAAGAGAAGAATAAGACAGTAGGAGGTCAGAATAGATAGTGTTTTTTTTTTTTTAAGTACGAAGTACAACAAACAGAATTAAAATATAATTATTGAAATAAAAATGGCAGAAGAAAAAAGTCCTGAGACATGCTGCTGTGACGTAGATGAACCTTGAGAACATTATGCTGAGTGAAACATGTCAGACACTAAAGGACAGATATTATATGATTCCACTTAATATGAAATATCTAAAAACCCTTTGCCATTGAATCAGTTCCAAATCAAGTATTTAGAATAGGCAAATGCAGAGAGACCAAAGTTTATTAGTGGTTACCAGGGGTGGGTGCGAGAGTGAAAGAGAGAGTTATTGCTTAAGGAGCACCGAGCTTCCCTTAAGAATGATAGAAAAATTTGGAAACAGATTGTGCCGATGATTGCACAACATGGTGAACGTAATTAATGTCACTTAATTGTACACATAAAAATTGTTGATATAGCAAATGTTTTGTTATATATTTACCACCATAAAAAAATATTTTTTAAAAAGTCAATAAGTTGGTTAAAAAGCAGATCAGAGACAGCTAAAGAGAGAAATAGTGAACTGAAAGATACGGGGAAATTGCCCAAAACATAGCATTTAGAGATAAAGAGAGAGAAAATGTGAAACAGGTTGAGACACAGAAGACGAAATGAGACAGCCCATTATAAGTCTAATAAGAATCCCTGGAGAAACCCCGAGAGTATGGCCTCCGGACACCCTTTTAGCTCAGTGGTGAAGTCACTCCCAAGGTTCACCGTTCAGCCGGGGATTGGGCAGCTCCATAAAACAAAATAGGACTAATGAGGCACAGTAGTCCAGGGACAAGGACTAGAAGGCAGAAGGGGACAAGGAAGCTGGTGATAGGGAACCCAAGGTTGAGTAAGGGCAGTGTTGACATGTAGTGGGGTTCTTAACCATTGTCATGGGCAGCATGTGTCCTGTTTAATGAGAAACTATTTTGTTCTTTAAACCTTCATCTAAAGTGAGAACAGCAGCACAACTGGAAGAATGGAATCAATGTCACTGAATTGTACATGTAGAAATTTTTGAAATGGTGTATCTTTGGTTATGTATATTTTCACCAAAAAAAAAAGGTCCTCCAAGGCCAAGAAGTTTGTTTACACATAGTGGGGTTGTTAACCATTGTCATAAAACAATACGTGTACTGACTGTTTAATGAAGAAAATATTTGTTCTGTAAACCTTCACCTAAAGTACAATAAAAAATTTAAAAAAAAAAGAATCCCACAAGAAGAGACTCAAGAGAATGGAGCAGAGGACATACTCAAAGTGATAATGACTGAGAACCTTCCAGACTTAATGGGACTGAAAATGGCAGAGTAGGGAACTCCGAAATTCTGTCCCTCCACTAAAGAAACGATTAAGCTGGAAAATACTGTCAGACTCAATCTTGTTGGAACTCAAATTTAATAAAATTAATAAATTAAATTAAAATTAATAAATTTAATTTAAAAAACTTACAACAACCAGGTAAATACTTACTGAAGAAAAAAACTACTGGATTTTGGTAAGAGACCATTGTGGCATTTTAACCTACTCACCTATCATCTTCCTTCCCCAGCTCAGCAGAGGCCAGGCAGTTGGTGGCCCACATTCCTGGCGCAACTTGCTGGTGCCAGAGGGAGCAGTATGGAACTTGTTGTCAAAGAATTGTGGGAAAGACCATGAGACCAGAACTAGGTGGCACCCAGCAATCATTACAAAACGTTTTGATCAAAGATTTTATAGATGAATCCTGATCAAAAGGGGGAGAAATACGGAACAGAATTTCACATTTTAATGGAATCCAGATTTTCTGGAGCCATTGAGGCTGAATGACCCTGGAAACTATTGCCATGAGATAATCTTTAAACCTCAAACCGAAACTATCCCCTGAAGTCATCTTTAAACCAAAGAATAGTTTAGCTTAATTAATAAAGAATGTCTGCCTTGAGCATTGTGCTCTTTTAAATAATTATCTATATGAGTTCGAATTGACAACAGCAACTTGAAAGTTAGATGAGCTCAGGGGGCAGCGAGTTTATTTTAATGGTGGTGGAATAATATGGAAAAGGAAGGTGAGCATGGTTGCACATCTTGAAGAATATAACCAATGTCATTACTGAGTTGTATGTGTAGGAATTGTTAAATTGGTGTACATTTTGCTGTGTATATTTTCACCAGAAATAATAATTTTTTAAAAAATAAGGTGGAAATTTGAAAATCAGTCTCTTTGAAGGAAGCCACGCTGGGGTGAAGGAGCCCTAGTGGTACAACGGTTAAGTGCTCAGCTGCTAACTGAAAGGTTAGCAGTTCAAATCCACCCAGTGGCTCCGTGGCAGAAATACCTGGCTATCTGCTCCCGTAAAGATTACAGCCTAGAAAACCCTATGGGGCAGGGCTCGCTATAAGTTGAAAATTGACTCGACGGCACCTAACAACAACAACAACATACTGGGTTGGGCATTGCGGGTAGTGGGCTTCGCCCTGTTTAAGGCTGACTCTCATCACTCCCGTCTTTCAGGACCTCCTCAATGACCTGGCTGCCTTTTGTTTCCTCACGGGGGCCGTGATCTTCGCTGTGAGAAGTCGACCAACCTTGCACATGCACTACTTCATAGCCGTGGTGAGTTCATCCATGTCGGGCTGTTTATTTGCTCTGAATTCATTGCTTTTGGAGAATGGGTGAGTTTTTCCCAGTTTCAGGAAAGGGCTTCTTTTCTTTTTATAAACTCTTGGGACCAAGGCAAAATTTAAAAGTAAATAACATTGGTAAATATCTCCAATAGGGAAGCCAAATGAAGATGATGTCTAGGGGGGCAGCCAAGCTAAAGGCTTCCTCCTTGCAGCTGCTGATCCCAGAGCAAAGGGCCCCACCCTGGTGGGTTTAAAGAGAGAAAGGACAAGAGATGAGAAGACTCGAAAGATGGCGCTGGGGGAAGGCAAGGCTAGGGGAGGAGACAGACTCTCTTGGGTCTGGTAGTTTGAGGGGAAAAGGGGACGTGTTAAAAGGCATCTATTGATGAATTAGGAACAGGGAAGGGAAACTCTGGAATGAAAAGCAGAAGTAATGATGATCCTTTTGTTTTCCAGATCTGTACTGGTGTGGCTGGACTATTTGCTTTAATCGATGTATGTCTTCAGAGAAGGCACTTCAAGGCCAAGAGGGTCAAAAAGACTGTGCTGGTTCCTCCTCCACCAAAGAAGACCAAGGAAGATGAAAAGCAACCTGAAGCAGGCAAGCCAAAGGAACCTGAACCAGAAAAGGCAGCTGAACCAGACAAGAAAAAGGAAAATAAATGACTGGAAGGACACTCCTATTGTCAGAAATGGCAGTGTTATTTTACAATAAAACCTATTTCCACTGTCTTCCTTGTCTTCTTTCTAGGATGGTTTTCTTTTTCATTTGAATAACCACCTTTCTTGGAAAAGAAATTTCTCTTTAAATGGATTTGATGTACACATTATTTTGTTCATTCAACAGAAGTTACTGAAAGTGACGGTGCATAAGGCGAGCTGGGAGCTGAGCCTGGGGTCTAGGGCACTCGCAGACTGGCCCCAGCCCTGGAGGTGCTCACAGGCTACATGACACAAAGGGGTTGGGGGATGAAGAGTGTGTGGGGCGACACTGGCTGTCAACACTGTCCAGCCAAAAGGACCAGAAGAAAATGAGGAATTGGAAAACAAAATGCATTCACTTTGATATTTTCATTTTACATTTTTCTAAAGCATCCAAGTAGTCATTATAAGAAAAATGAGGTTATTGGCCTTCCTTACTGTTTTTTTCCCCTAAATTTTATTTATTTTGTTGTTGTTGTTGAGAATATACACAACAAAACACACACCAATTCAACAGTTTCTGCATGTACAATTCAGTGACACTGATTACATTCTTTGAGTTGTGCACCCATTCTCACCCTGCTTTTCAAAGTTGTTCCTTCCTCATTAACACAAACTCACTGCCCCCTAAGTTTCCTATCTAATATTTCGAGTTGCTGTTGTTAATTTCAGCCCATACAGATCTTAAAAAAGCACAATGCTCAAGGCAGATATTCTTTCCTAGTTAAGCTAAAACTATTGTTTGGTTTTAAGAAGACTTTAAGGGATATTTTTGGTTTAAGGTTTAAAGATTATCTCAGGGCAATAGTTTCAGGGGTTTATCCAGCCTACGTGGCTCCAGAAAGTCTGGAGTCCATGAGGATTTTAGATTCTGTTCTGCATTTTCCCCCTTTTGATCAATGTCTTAGTTATGTAGTGCTGCTGTAACAGAAATACCACAAGCAAATGGCTTTAACAAAGAGAAATTTATTCTCTCACAGTTTAGGAGGCTAGAAGTCCAAATTCAGGGTGCCAGCTCTAGGGGAAAGCTTTCTCTCTCTGTTAGTTCCAGGGGACAGTCCTTGTCATTGATCTTCCCCTGGTCTAGGAGCTCCTCAATGCAGGGACCCTGGGTTCAAAGGACATGCTCTGCTCCTAGCACTACTTTCTTGGTGGTATGAGGTCACCCTGTCTCTCTGCTTGCTTCTCTCTTTTATATCTCAAAAGAGATTGACTCCGGAGGGCTGTGGGGACCATGGTCTCAGGAAACATCTTGCTCAATTGGCATAACACAGTTTATAAAGACAATGTTCTACATTCTACCTTGGTGAGTAGCGTCTGGGGTCTTAAAAGCCTGTGAGCAGCCGTCTAAGATACTCCACAGGTCTCACCCCTTCGGGAGCAAGGGAGAATGAAGAGAACAGGATACAAGGAAAAGATTAGTCCAAAGGACTAATGGACCATAGCTATCACAGCCTCCACCAGATTGAGTCCAGTACAGCTAGATGGTGCCTGGCTACCACCACTGACTGCTCTGATCAGGATCATAATAGAGGATCCTGGACAGAGCTGGAAAAAGATGTAGAACAAGAAAAAAAAAAAAGAGATTGACTCAAGACACAACCTAATCTTGTAGACTGAGTCCTGCCTCATTAACATAACTGCCACTAATCCTGCCTCATTAACATCATAGAGGTAGGATTTACAACACACAGGAAAATCACATCAGATCACAAAATGGTGGACAATAATGGGAATCATGTCCTAGTCAAGTTCACACAAATTTTGAGGGGATACAATTAAATCCATAACAATCAGGATTCTTCTATGGAATCTTTGATCAAAATGTTCAGTAATGGAAGCAGGGCAATATCCAGTTGTTTTTGTCTCATGGCAAAGGAGGCAGTTGTTCATGGAGTAAATTAACCCCACATTCCATATCCTCTTCCTATTCCTGACTCTCCTTCTTCCTCTGTTGCTCCAGGCGAATAGAGACCATTTGTTGTATCTTGGAGGCCTTCCTTACTCTTATTTTGCAGTTTAGTATTGATCCTTGTTTGGCCTTCCCTTGGGAGGGGGCGGTGGGGATAGTAGTATCTCCTCAGGACTGGGGGCTTCCAAGGGCCTGAGTCAGCCTGTGTGCGGGCCCAGCAGGGTGGGCTAAGGTGGAATCTTGGGCACAGTCCCTCAGAGCTTGCTCAGCCCTCTGGGACCTGCACTGGCTCCCTCCAATGAGGACTGAGCATTAACTCAGGGCCCCGATCTCACAGGACAGTCCAGCCACCCTCTCAGGAGGATCGTCCTCATGAGGGGGAAGTGAGGGCCCCAAGTGATAAAAGAGGAGCTGAGAGGAGGTCTGTGTGGGGGAGCCTGCAGTGCCGAGGCCTTTCAGGGAGAGGTGGGAGTTGGCTGGGCCTTGGGGGCTGTGGTAATGACTTGGGCCTCTGTTCTAAGTGCCATGTGGATGTCCTGAGGCTAGGAAGTGGCAGATCCTCTTCCCACTGGGAGATCCCACTCTTGGCTATTGCTGAGAAGGGAGTGCAGTTGGAAGGACACCGCTGCCTGTTGTTCAGGTGGGGGATATGGGCCTCTGGGACAGCATCAACAATGAAGCAGGCAGAGCTGGAATCTTGTCCGGCTGAGCCCTTCTCAGAATCTAGGGCCATGCCACTGGCCCCACCCACAGCACCTCTACTCTTTAAGTCCACTGCTCCCTCCCTAGCCCTCACAGTACTCCCTGTAGGCCTGGCAGTGTGGGGAAATCCCACAGTGAAATGTGGGAGACACTGTTGTTGTTCGCTGCCATCCAGTAGCCCTTGACTCATGCATTCTGTGATGGTTAAGGTTATGTGTCAGCTTGGCTAGGCCATGATTGTCAGTGGTTTGGCAGATATTATGTAATCATTCTACATTTTGTGATCTGATGTGAGCAGCCAATCAGTTGAAAGGGAGCTTCCTTGGGGGTGTGGCTTGCATCCAATTTGTATGAATGTTCTGGCAAAGCTTGCCCTCTCTTGATGCTGCATCCAACATGTCATCCTCTGACCTCAAGTTCTTGGGATGTCAGCCAGCAGCCTGCCATCTGACCTGAAGATTTTGGGATCTGCCAGCTCCTACAGCCCTGTGAGCCAGGAGCTTGCCATCTAACCTGCCAATTTTGGGTTCATCAGCCCCTGCAAGCATGTGAGTCAGAAGCCTCCACTGTGACATCTGACCCCAGGATTTGGGACTTGCCAGCCTCCACAACTGCATGAGCCATTTCCTTGAAATAAATCTATCTATCTATCTATATAAATATATATATTTTATATATACACTTCACTGGCTTTGCTCCTCTAGAGAACCCAGCCTAAGACATTTGGAACTGAGAGTGGTTCTAGAAGAACAAAATAAGGATGAATTTTCTGAAATGGTTCTCAAGTCTGGCTAGTCTTAAAGGCGCTGATGACTCTGCCTTCAGTAATAAAGGGGGCACTGCTAATCCATGGTGTGAGGTGGCAATAGAAATACACGAAATATCACCACCAATGGATCAAATATTTATGAGAGATAAGGCTGGTGACTGCATATTTTATACTTTTCTACAATTGTGTCAGAATAAGAAGTATAAGGAAGCTGATTGGTCCTACTTTTACTAGACAAAGCAGTGAAAGAAAGGGATGAGCTCAAAGCTTCAGAGTCAAAGCTCAAGTACCACATACAAGACCTGAAATTTGCCACTCGTGCCCTGAAAGCTGCCTTATTTCTTATAGTAGCACAACTGATACTGCTGAAAACCAAACCCAGAGACTTATCATAGGAGTGGATCAGTTACAATGCCAGCTGAATTCCCAACCTCGAATGGTATCTGAAGTTAAAGTGAGGGCACTGAGAGGGAAGAAATGGTATCCAGAAACTTGGGATGGGGACATATGGTCAGATAATCAGGAAGGTGGGGACACTGATCCTCTAAATTCTATTGACTCACTCCTGCCAACAGATGACAAAGATTACAGCCAAGAAAACCACAGGGGGTTGCCATGAGTCAGAACTGACAGCACAAAACAACGACAACATGAAAAACAATAATAGTCCATGGTAGCACAAACAGTTAAGTGCTCAACTACTAGCCAAAAGTTTGGAGGTTCAAACCCACTCAGAGAAGCTTTGGAAGAGAGGCCTGGCATCCACTTCCAAAAAGTCACACAGCCTTGAAAACCCTATGAAGCAGTTCTATTCTGCAGCACATGGGGTTGCCATGAGTCCGAGCTGACTCCACAACAATTAACAACAACAATGGAAAACAATAAAATACACAAATAACTTCAGAAATGAGAAGCCGGGATTTTAAAAATTATACCTGAGGTTGTCAACTAGGTGGCTTTGCTGATCTTGGTTAGGACTGCTCCCAGGTTTGGAGGTTGGCAGTTTGGGGGTTGGCGGTTTGGGGGTTGGATGGCTGTCAGCTGACCTAGGCTGGTCTCAGCCGGGATGACTGAGGCAATTCAGCTCTGCTCTGTGTCTCTCACTCTCCAGCAGGCTAGCCCAGATATATCGTTATGAAAACGGCAGAACACACAAGATTGTAAGTGGAAATATAGGCAGAACTGGCATACTATCAGTCTTTTCCACTTCACTTTATTGGCCAACACAAGTCACAGAGCAAAAAAAGAAACTGCAACTTCATGGCTAAGGGTGTGAATATAGAAAGGAGCAAAGAATTGGGGCCATTAAACCAATCAGCAGGCAAGCTGCCTATAGCAAAAGTATAAAAACCACAGATAGGAAGGATAGCTACCAACTTTGTAATGGTGGCTGCCTCTGAAGAGGAAGGAAGGATATTGGGGTAGAGGAGGGGTAGAAAGGTGATTTCAACTGTGTCCACAATATTTAATTAAAGATGCAGAGCAAGAGAGTCTGAACAAACATGGCAAAGTGTCAACATTTATTAATTCACAGTGATGGAAATATTCTCAGTGTTTGTGATTTAACTCTGTGCTTTTTGTGTTTGAAATTTTTTCAATTAATAGTGAAAGAAAGGAAAACAGGGTAGGGGAGAGATCG